TTACGAACTTCAAATACCACATTTGAAACAATTCCGATGCCATAGGTTGTAGATCCCATTACGAACTTCAAATATGACATTTGAAATAATTCCGGTAAATAATGTCGCTAAAATCATAAAAATACGGAATATAAGGAGGTACCGTTATATGGGGGCTATACCAAAACGTGGGCCTACATGGCCCATTTTTAATTCCAAAAGTCCTGCAGACATAACATACATTTGAGTAAAATTTTATTAATCTACTCCAATTTATTTGGAAGCTATAGTGATTTCCACAGACGGACAGACGGACGGGCATCGTTAAATCGACATAAAATTTTATGCTGATCAATATCAATGTACTTTGTGAGGTCTAAAATGTATGTTTCGAGGTGTTACAAACGGAATGACAAACTTAATATACCCTTCATACTATGGTGGAGGGTATAAACATGTCGGAAATAGCATCAAATTTTGAGTATGTTTAGATTAGTTCGAATTTGTCACCTTTGGCACGAATTATGGCCTTTAAACGGCCGATGAAACCATCACACGCTGCCCGAATTTTGCTCTGCAGTATTTTGTCCCATTCCCGGGGAAGCGCTTGCTTGAGGTGATCGACACTTTTGTATTTTTTTTAATGCCAACCTTGCCTTCCAAAATAATGCAGACACAATGGTATCTGGAGATTTTGGTGGCCGTTGTGCACTGGAAATGAAGCGAGGAACCTCATTTTGTAACCATTCTTGGGTGGCGCGTGCTGAGTGCGATGATGCTGAGTTCTGTTTGAATGTCCAAGGTCTGTGGCCAAAATGTTTGCGTGCCAAAGGCTTTAATACACCCTACAGAATATTCTCGCGATAATATTCGGAATTTATTCTGATGCCATGCTCGTTTAATAAGAGCGGAAAGCGACCATCGGCTGTTATGGCGGCCCACACCATCACCATGGCCGGCGCTTGAGTTCTGGTGGCCAACCGAAGATGCACATTTTCAGCTGACCTCTTTGGCAAGTAAACACGATCATTTTGTTTATTTACAAACTGCTGGACAACGAATGTTTTCTCGTCGGAGAAGACCAAATTCGGCAGTTCACACAACTTTCGGCCAAGCGAAGCAACTCTTTAGCTCTTTTGAGTCTATTTTCTTTCTGTTGCGGTGTAAGTTCTTGCACTTTTTGGAATTTCAATGGCTTTACTCCGAGCTAATTTTTCAATATTTGCTGAATGGAATATTGCGATATGTTTAGCTCATGAGCCATTTTTCGGCCACTGCGATGCGGGTTTCGATTAAGTCGCTTCTTTACTTTTCGAACCATTTCTGCTGATGTTGCTTTTTTCTTCCGTCCACTTCCTTGACGCCAGTATCACGGTAACGAGCTATGGTACGAGACGCAAACGACTTATTCACATTTAAATGCTGGAGTGCTCTAACGATAGCCACTTGTGGCTTTCCAGCCAAATATAAAGAAATCACACTATCACGCCTGAATTCTATCACGAAAAACTTTTTTTCTGGAAAATTCTCACCAAACTGCTTTTGTACGCTTGTAAACAATATAATGAGCTGTCACTGGAATAATTTTAAAAGCTGTCGGACGGACGTGGCTTAGAAGTGTCAGCAGTCTGAAGTTGTTTCCATTTTTTCATCTCACCCTGTATTTAAAGGTAAAAAGCTGAAAAAGAAAATCAATATCCATGCGAATGAGGGTCGACAGTTGATACAGTGCACCCACACACACTTGCACAATTACGCTTCGGATATTCAGTTACTTAGTGGAGTTTCGAGCATGATATATGGTGGATAAGAACTTATTTTGTAACAAGGGAATGAAAGGGAGCTAAGAATGTCTAAAATCCATGAAAAACATAGCTGAGTCCTGGCACGAGTTTCTTTGTATAAGAATCAGCTTCTTTAAATCTCGTTTTACAGTAAATTGAAATAGTCGCACATGTTCGCATTTTTCTAGTAGCCATGAGCAACCATATATAAATCGTGAAATATTTAAAAACATTTTTTACTGTTTCCCCCGATTTGCTCTGTTTTTATTTTTTTTATTAGCTGTTATTGGAACAAATTACATACAGCTGCCACCATGTTCCATTGGATTTTTATACTGTCCATATCCCATAAAAAGCTTGAGAAGGAAAACGGCCTTTTGTGCCAACTCAAATAATGGTAGATGACGTTGTAAAAAATTGGCGCCCAATTGACATCATATTGAAAATGGTTAATGGTCTTTTGGCTGGGCAAAAAAGTGAAATATTATCAACCCACTTTTCAAATAAAGCGGCTGTGAGAAATTATTTAAAATATATTGGAAATAAGGAAGTATTCGAGAAAAAAAAAACTGAAATTTGTCACAAAAATTTTTTTTGTCGCTTTTGCACTGAAAAGTTGAAAACTTTTGAAAAACTATAAAAATAAATTATTAAAAAATAAATTTCGAAATAGTTGTAAGGGTGATTTTGAGCCACTCGGGAAGCAAATGGAAGATATTCGATGATTTTATTCTATGGGTGAAACATTTAACTCAAAATTGAAAAACGTCATCTATATCTATTCTATATCTACAGGGTGAGATGAAGAAACTGCAACCAACTTCAGACTGCTGTCATTTCTAAGCCACTCGTCCGACAGATGTTAAAATTATTTCAGTGACAGCTCATTATATTGTTTACAAGCGTACAAAAGCATTTTGGTGAAAATTTTCCAGAACAAAAAAGTTATTCGTGATGAAATTCAGGCGTGATAGTGTGATTTCTTTATATTTGGCTGGAAAACCGCAGGTGGCTATCGTTAGAGCACTCCAGCATTTAAATGTGAATACATCTTTTGTGTCTCGTGCCATAGCTCGTTACCGTGATACTGGTAGCTCGTAGCCTGACGTCAAGGAAGTGGACGGAAGAAAACCGACACAGCAACATCTGAAGAAATGGCTCGAAAAGTAAAGAAGCGATTTGATAAAAACCGAAACCGCGTCGCAGTGGCCGAAAAATGGCTCGTGAGCTGAACATATCGCAAAATTCCATTCAGCAAATATTGAAAAATGAGCTCGGGGTAAAGCCATTAAAATTCCAAAAAGTGCAAGAACTTATACCGCAACGGAAAGAAAGAAAATAGACTCAGAAGTTCTAAAGAGTTGCTTCGCTGGGCCAAAAGTGGTGAACTGCCGAATTTTGTTTTCTCCGATGAGAAAACATTCGCTGTCCAGCAGTTTGTAAACAAACAAAATGATGGTATTTACTTGCCAAAGAGGTTAGCTGAAAATGTACACCTTCGGTTGGCCAGCAGAACTCATGCGCCGGCCGTGCTAATGGTGTGGGCCGCCATAACAGCCGATGGTCGCTTTTCGCTCATACAAATCGACTGGGGCGTCAGAATAAATGCCGAATATTATAGCGAAAATATGCTGGAGGGTGTATTAAAGCCTTGATCATGCAAACATTTCTGGTCGCAGACCTGGGACAATCCAACAGGACTCAGCACCATTGCACGCGCCACCCAAGAATGGTTACAAAATGAGGTTCCTCGCTTCATTTCGAGCGCACAATGGCCACCAAAATCTCCGGATATTTTGGAGTATTTTGGAAAGCAAGGTTGGCACTAAAAAATACCAAAAGTGTCTATCACCTCAAGCAAGTGCTTCGCCGGGAATGGGCCAAAATACCGCAGAGCAACATTCGGGCAGTGTGTGACGGTTTCATTGGCCGTTTGAAGGCAATAATTCGTGGCAAAGGTGACCAATTCGAATAAATTTAAACTTATTCTAAAATGTAATGCTACTTCCGACCTTTTTATACCCTCCACCATACTATGTAGGGTATATTAACTTTGTCATTCCGTTTGTAACACCTCGAAATACTCATGTCAGACCCAACAAACTATATATATTCTTGATCAGCGTAAAATTCTAAGACGATTTAGCGATGTCCGTCTGCCTGTCCGTCTGTCTGTTGTAATCACGCTATCTTTCGAGCAAATTTAGATAGAAGGCTAAAATTTTGCAAACATATTTATTTTTCCAGTAGGCAGGTTAAGTTCATAAATGGGCCATGTAGATCCACGTTTTCATATAGCCCCCATGTAACGGTACCTTCCGATATTCGGTATTTTGATGATTTTAGCGATATTATTCACCGGAATTGCTTCAAATGTGGTATTTGAAGTTCGAAATTGATATTAGAGCCTAAGACAGAAAGTTATCTGTGCAGGTCCCCGTCTTCGTATAGCCTCCATATAACGGTACCTCCCTATATTCGATATTTTGATGATTTTAGCGACATTATTCACCGGAATTGTTTCAAATGTGGTATTTGAAGTTCGTAATGAGAACTACAGCCAATGACAAAAAATTGTTTATGCAGGTCTAGATCTTCGTATAGGCCCCATATATCAGTACCTCCCTATATTCGGTATTTTGACGAGTTTAGGTACAAAACCCACCGAAATTGTTTGAGATGTCGTATTTGAAGTTCGTAATGGATGCTACAGCCTGTGACAGAAAATTGTCTATGCTGGTACCTCCAAATATACCATATTTTGATGATTTTAGCTAACATTATTCACCGTTTATTTCAAGTTTCGTATTTGAATATGACGTGCAATGCCTATGTAGGTCCACGTCGTATAGACTCCAATATAACGGCTATATTCGGTATTTTTAAAATTTTAACAGAATTTTTTAAGGATTTTATTTTTTGAAAATTTTCCAATTTGTTCCAAATGGTGGAGGGTATTCAAAGTTCGGCCCGGCCGAACTTACTGCTTTTTAACTTGTTTTTATCTCACCCTGTATATATATACCCTCTGTAGCCATAAGGCTGAGGGTATAATTAAATATGTTTCTTCGTTTTGCTTAAAACTGTCTGCGTCTTACTTTACTTTTTTCAAAAAAAAAAAAAAAAAAAAAAAAAAACAACAATGAAATCTAATTTTTTATTATTATCATTTATTATTTTGTGTATTACAACAACAACAAAGACTACCTCAAACAAATAAAGTATTACCCTCCTCTTACCACTCTCACTCCCCATTGATTTTCAATCCAACCATTTCTGCACTTTTCTGCCACAACCAATCGGCCATTTCGTTATCGCAAGCTTTTGCTACCAACTTCTGCAACTTCATGCGATCATAGTAGCCACCAGTCTTACCCTCCAAATCTGGATCTAATGCCAAGTAAATCGTAGTTTGGGCACCACCACGCGCTGAGCGTAAAGCCAGTTTTGTCAGCTGACTTGAAATGGCAAGAAAACGATTATTACGAAATAACTCCGTTTGCACCGACCCAGGATGTAAACAGTTGACGGTGATGCCGCTTCCCTTTAGCATTTGCGACAATTTGTGGCTGAACAAAACATTGGCCAATTTACTCTGGGCATAGGCACGAAAATCATTGTAGCTTTTCTCGCTGTTAATATCTTCGGTTTGTATACGGCCCAGGGCATACATCCAGGAACTGACCACAATAATGCGACTGGGAACTGCAGCTTTTAGATGATCCAGCAATAAATTGGTTAACAGAAAATGACCCAAATGATTGACGGCAAATTGTTGTTCGTAGCCTTCCGTGGTCAGTTTACGAGGTGTGGCCATAATTCCGGCATTATTGATGAGTATGTCCAAACGTTGTTCGTCTCTTTTGAATTGTTCGGCAAATTCCCTTACCGATTCGAGGGAACTTAGATCCAATCGGCGATTGAAGATTTTATTGTTACCCGTTTCGTAGATGATTTCTTGTCGTGCCTTTTCGCAGCGATTATAGTCCCTACAGGCCATATAGATGCGGGCTCCTCTTCTCGCCAATTCCAGAGCGGTTTCTTTACCAATGCCGGTATTACAACCGGTAATAACAACAACTTTGCCATCAATGCGATTTGTTTTGTAATACCTGGGACCTTCTTTGTATTTCCAAAGGGCAAAGAGAACAACAGCTGCAATTAGGCTGCCACAGGTTATGAGCAACGTCAAGCAACCCAAGGGGGTGAAACTGCCCACATATTGACACAGCGATTGATTTAGAATTTCCACAATATCCATGTTTTGAAATATTTGGTATTGCAAAAATCAAATTATCTATTTGCTGACTTCTTTAAAGTTTCGCAATTCGCTTTTTTGTTTTATGCTCTTTTTTCTGCTGCTGTGCGACACACTTCAAGCGCAAATTGATCCGTTGAGGCTACCATCTATGAGGCAACTGAACTGTATTACAAAGAGCAGTAAGCGTTGTGGAAGTGTAATAGTCGATCTTGCCATGTACAAACGGTGAACATAATCTGGGTAATGCAAAGCTTATTACAGCACTCACATTTGCTCTCTCTCCCTCTCTCCATCCACACAACACAAGATACAACTTAAGCGCGTTACATACATGTATGTTGCAAGCAAGAGAGCCATGCAAAATATGCCGAAAAAAGCTATGATTTTTATGAGCGTTAAAGCCACATAAAGCTAGTAATGGGCGAAGTAGTCTTTTAGCCGCAAATGGGCAGTACACAAAAATGCTCAAAGTAGGTCAGGTCTAAATTGGGCCATGCACACAGATTTATAACAGGTTTTTGGTTGTAAAAGACGGCTTTTATTATACCTTCAGTCATATGGCTACAGAGGATATATCTCATTTGATACGGCTAAAATTTACGCCAACGAAATAGCGGTTTTGGGGTCCTTGGCCATAGTGAACAAAATCCGTTTCAAGACAATTGAATACGAAGTCTTGCTATTTGGTGCCCACCATAGCTCTCGCAGGGTTATCAAACTTAGATCGAACTCGGAGATGGGTAATTTCTGTTACTTCTTTATGTACCGTCCCCATAAATGGTCAACATTTTCAAGGAGAATAACATTTTGCCACCAAATTTAAAGTTGTTAAATATTACGGAAAAAATCGAGCATTTTATGAAAGTCGAGCTAAAAATGATAATTCTTTAATGGACGTTTTGAAAAAAAAATTATCGGAAAGTATCCAAAAAAATGAAGGGAAAGTTCTCCAACGGCCACACTTTTGAAAATATTCGGATTAAGATTCCTCGGAATCCGTGCATTTAGGGCATCTAGAGTCTTCACCAACAGTGCAGATAACAAGAAAAAAAAGCAGATAATTTCGGCCGGGCCGAACTTTGAATACCACCCACCATTTGGTACAAATTTAACAATTTTCAAAAATATAAAATCCGTTAAAAATTCTGTTAAAGTCTTGAAAATACCTAATGTAGCCGTATATTAGACTCTATACGACGATGTGGACCTTCATAGGCAACTTTTGTCACAAGCTGTTACATCATTCAAATGTGAAACTTGAAAAAAAATCCGTCTATAATGTAGCTAAAATCATCAAAATACCGGATATACAGGGTTGCCCATATTCGACAGACCTTTGGGCCCATTCCAATCGACGAGGCTTGTCCGCAGGCAACATTCTTTGCGTCATGAATTTTGTACGGGAACAAATGCAAATCAATGCGAATAATCCGTTGTAAAGTGGACCGAGCCATGCCCAACTGCTGAGACCGGCGTTTTTGGGATGTTCTTGGGGACCTTTCAACACTGGGTCGTACGGCAGCGATATTAACGGCCGATCGCCTGACATCTCTGTCAAAAGTTATGGCGTTGCCAGATGGGTCCGTCGAATATGGACAACCCTGTAGGGAGGTACCATGGTGGTTATAAAACGTGGATCTGCACAGACAATTTTCTGTCATAGGCTGTAATATCCATTACGAACTTCATATGAGAAATTTGAAATAATTCGTTGTAGTTCCCATTACGAACTTCAAATATGACATTTGAAATAATTCCGGTAAATAATGTCGCTAAAATCCTCAAAATACCAAATATCGGGATGTACCGTTATATGGGGGCTATACGAAGACGTGGACCTGCAGAGACAATTTTCATTCATAGGCTGTAGTATCCATTACGAACTTCAAATACCAAGTGTGAAACAATTCCGGTGAATGATGTCGCTAAAATCATCAAAATACCGAATATCGGGAGGTACCTTTATATGGGGTCTATATGAAAACGTGGACCTACATAACCCATTTCCACTACCAAAAGTCCTGCAGACATAATTTATATTTGAGAAAATTTTTTTTCAGTCTACTTCATTTCGTTCGGAAGCTATAGTGATTTCCACAGACGGATAGACGGTCGCACGTCGTTAAATCGACATAGAATTTTATACAGATCAACAATATATATACTTTGTGGGGTCTAAAATGTATATTTCGAGGTGTTACAAATGGAATGACAAACTTAATATATCCTCCAGTGGAGGGTGGATGGTATAAAAAGTACAGGGTTGTCCATATTCGACGGACCCATCTGGCAACGTCATAACTTTTGACAGAGATGTCACATCGCTTAATGACATTACGCCTTTGAAGCGTCAGTCCAAGCAGATTTTTACCATGAAACAATACACGCTACGCGAGCGCTCTGAAATAGTTGAAATTTACATTAAACAGAAGAAGTCAATTTTGAAAACTCAACGTGCTTTTAAAACATTAAAAAATGTGAGAAGTGCGCCTTCTGAGAACACCATTAAGCGTTTTTACGAAAAATTTTCGACTGGTAAGGCTCTTTCTAATCCGAAGAGGCCATATAAAAGTCGACCAAGGCGATCGGCCGAGAATATCGCTGCCGTACGAGCCAGTGTTGAGAGGTCCCCAAGAACATCCCAAAAACGCCGTTCTCAGCAGTTGGGCATGGCTCGGTCCACTTTACAACGGATTATTCGCATTGTTTTGCATTTGTTCCCGTACAAAATTCAATTGACGCAAAGAATGTTACCTGCGGACAAGCCTCGTCGATTGGAATGGGCCCAAAGAGTCATGGGTCCGTCGAATATGGGCAACCCCGTATAGCGTTTCATTAAAGTCTTCAAGTTATTGGACACGCCTAAAATGCTGCTTCAAAATTGAGAATCACAAAATGTGAAAAAAATCACTTTACATATGACATTAACACGATGTGAAATATAGGCTTAATAATGAAGAAATAAACACGATCTCCTTTAAGTGTTTTTTCCTCTAATCTTCTTTACTATGGGTAACAACTTTACAAAGGAGATCAAATTGAAGTTGCCTACGACAAGATTATTTTAAATCCTGCATTCGTCTTACTTGCCATTCGTTTCCTGGGAAAAATCGTTGAAAATCCGGAAGCATATTTTAGGTAACTTTGCCTAGATTTCACTATTAATCATTCCCCGTAATCATAGGTCATACCTCGAGCAAATTCCTTCTTCATTCCTTCCTATTGTTGTCCATCATCAGCAATCGCATTTTCCATTGTGGTCTGATTGAAGGGTTTAGCCGACCCTTCAATGTAAATGTAAAAACCACATTTTAATTCGAAACATCAAGAGAATATCACAAAAAGTTTAATCCCTTACAGACCATCAGGATGTTCAAGGTATGCATGGAAGTTGAAAGCCGCAATGGTATGCCTTTGCAGCTACAATATCGCTTGTCGTCCACATTTCACAATGACCGAGGGGCGGTTAGGTTTGCTAGAGGAATGTTGGTGGTGGGTCTGAATGTCATTCTATCTCATGCTTACGTCGACAATGAACGTTGGTTAACATTAAAGTCTTAAGTCCACTTTGGAGGATGAAAGGCTGAATGCTGTTGTGTAAAAATTGCGGGGGTGTGGGTGACATTAGTGTTAATTGCAGCGTTAAAGAGGTTGATGCTAGCGGTAGTGATATATAGTTTGCATTATTCGTATCTTGGTGATACAGTTGTAGTACATAAATAAGTAATCTTTGAATGAATGAAAATTATTAATCAGAGAGAGGGCTAGAGATTGAGACAGAGATAGAGATATAGCGAGAGTACTACATAAAGTTAGTTGAAATCAAAAATGTCATTTGATAGTCAGAATCGAAAGCGCTTCTACATCATACATTGAGCAGACCTCTAACATATGGACGTTCCACGTTCAGGCGTGAAAATTGACAATATCGGTCAACTCAATCAAGTACCTCCCCCCAAAGGGTCAAAATTTTGAATAATAATTTAGGATTGTTAATTATGTAACTGTGTTTGTAAACCACTCACTCACTGTATGTGTGTTAGTTTGTGTGGATGTGTAAGTTTACGCCAGCTAACATATATATTTTTTAAGGTCAAAATCCTTACCAGCCTTTTGAATGTTCGGTATGTATTAAAGCCTGTAGAAAATTTCGCTACAAAGCTGTAGTTGTTGTTTCATGTTATAGTTGGGTGTTTGGTTTTGTTTTTTTTTCCTTTCTTCCAGTATCCTTTCATATCCGCTACGTTTGTGGTTTTTATTCGTTTGGATGTAGCCATTTGTTGGAATGTCAAGTTGTTGATTAGATGTTGTTGCTGTTCTACTGTCAACGACGAACGACAGTTTCTCTGTTTTGTGTAAATTATGACAACAACAACAATAGCAACAGCGACATCGGCAATACGACAACTTGTCTAAGTATCGGGAGCAGACAAAGAAGAATCTGAAAAAAAGGACGAAGTAAAACCATAGAATAAATCGGTACCATTCAATGTGAGGACATCAACAATTACAACAGAAATGAGCAAAACATTGAAGATTAAGTGTGTGCGGAAATTAGAAAATGCTGGAGAAGGAAGAAAAAGGGCCAAAAATTTGATAAGTGGAACATTGAAGTTGTGTGGTAGAGAAGGGGTGGGGGATGTTTTTTTGATTTACATTATAAACAATAACAAACAAGTAAAAAAGCTGCCCTCCACCATTTCGAACAAATTTAACAATTTTCAAAAAAATAAAATCCGTTAAAAATTCTGTTAAAATCTTGAAAATACCTAATGTAGCCGTATATTAGAGTCTATACGACGACGTGGGCCTGCATAGGCAACTTTTGTCACAAGCTATTACAATATTCAAATGCGAAACTTGAAAAAAATCTGTTTATAATGTAGATAAAATCATCAAAATACCGAATATAGGGAGGTACCATGGTGGTTATAAAACGTGGTTCTGTACAGACAATTTTCTGCTATAGGCTGTAATAGCAATTACGAACTTCAAATACT